ATCCCTCCTTAATTCCCAAAAAGAAATTACTCAGACATACCTTTTAATCTTCAATACTTGCAAAGTTGAAATATTTGAAACAAATACTTTTATTGATGTAAGAAAAGAGATCAGTGGATTTTTAATCTCAGATTACAAGAGAGAGAATTGGAATTCAAAAGCGTGTCTTGCCTTTTGAGATTACAAGGCTTTATAGAGCTAGCATATTAACCCTAGTTACGTGACCGTGGTTAATTGACGATAAAAAGTAACCTTAATGATTATAAGAAAACAAACCTACTTTTTGACTAAATAAAAAAGTAAAGAAATGATTACAATGATTACAAGAGATAAAATAACTTTCGGCTACTTTTGACTTTGGTTGTCCATTTTATTTGCCACCTCACTTTTCTTCAAGAGTCAGCAACTACTTTTATCCTGTTAGCTACCTTTCTATCGTCTTCTTTTTATCTTTACATGTAGGCAAGTCTACTCTAGAATATTCGTGTTGATGGATGGGTCTTCATAGTGTTCATCAGCCTGTCTTCTTTTCCCACAATACTTGCATTTATGAATTTCATATTCAGATAATACTTGACATATTTTCCTTTTAGTCCCTTCATCATTGTCCATGTAATTATTTCTTAATCTTTCATACCAATTATTAAAGTTCCTAGAGTTCCTACTATTTCTTCCTACTGAGAATATACATGTAATGGGTCTAACGAAATATGTCCATTGAGCTTCATTTGCAGTTGTTGTTCTATTAAGTTCTTGAAAAATAATGTTCACTTCCGATGCTCTAATAGTGGAGATTTTATATCAAAGATCTTCATCATTCATAATGTCTCCTTTTTCTTCTTGGTCATACTTAAAAGGTCTTCTTGTTGTCTCAAATTTAATCAGATTAATGGGAGGATAAAATTTGTCTGGAGTTATTTCAGCTATTGTTGAATAACATGGAATATAAACCTGGTATTGAATTACTACTCTAAATAATGTTTTGCAGCATCTTTGATGGAATCTAAAAGTCTGAATATTTCTGACATGTCATTAGAAGGATATATTAAGTGTATGCGGCCATAACTGAAAAGGCTTTTTACAAATTCAGGATTAGTGTTTGGATAAACAATGACCTTATTGAAGGAATAATGAGAAACATATTTAATGTTGTTGGTTCTAGGAAGGAGAAAATGGTTTTTCTTATTAATGAGAAATTTAAAGTAATTGTATTGATCTAAGGTTTTAAAGGAAGGTGAGGTTACAAGACTTAGGCTTCTTCTCCTAAAAGAAGTAGAAGTAGAAGGATCATTTTGAGAAGTTTTAGTAACTATTTGGGCTTTAGTGTTTTGGGCGTCTTTTACTATTTTAGTAAATGGTATTACTGGACCAGATCTAGTTGGGCTATGAGGTTGAAATTGAGAATCAGATGTCTGGGTTGAGATATCAATTACTTGTTTTATTTGTCTTTGTGGGGATTGGGATAATGGTTCCTTAGATTTCTCTAAGGCCTCCATTTTACTTGTCAAAATTTTTACCTCATTTCTGAGATGAGCTACTGATTCAAATAATGATTGAACATTTAGATTTAATTGTCCAACAATTAGGCTCATATTCACTTCTAGAATATTCACCTTCATGGTTACTTGGTCTAGTGGGGTCATTATTGATCCTTTTGGTGAATTGCCACCACCATTACTTGTCATCATACTTGTCTCCTTTCTATTTGGCTTTAATTGGACAAATAATCTACAACAAGATTATTTTTACCTTTGATATATTTAATTTCATAATCATAACAAGACATATCTGAGTTGTCACTTAATTAACATTTTATTATATAGTTGAGTTGTCTTTATTCCTGTATTCAACCAATGTTTTACTTGAGTATTATCAGTCCTTATAATAAATCTAATGTTAACAATAAATAATTGAAACTTTTGTACAGCTTTTACTATTGTTAAAAATTCTTTTCAATTAGAGTGATATCTAGTTTGAGATTCATTAAATTTTTCACTAGCATATCTAATTATTAATTCTTCTACTTTATTATTGATGTGATATAAAGCTGCTCCCTAATAATTTTCACTAGTATCTGTATAAATTATCCAATATCATTATTTACTGGAATAGTTAATTTGGACAAATCTTGACATAATCTTTTGATTTAATTGATTATTCTTTCTTATTTTTATCCCATGCCCATACTGTTTTTTTTTCTCCAACTAATTTACTCACTTTGGCTATTAGTTTTGATAAGTTTGGAATATAATTTCTAGCTTGATTTACTAGTCCTAAGAATAATTGAAGTTCTTTCTTATTTTTTATTTCATCAAATTCTAATATATTTTTACTAATATATTCTTGTAATTCTCTCCTATTATCAGTTATATATTGGCCTAGAAGTTCTATTCTTTCTTTTCTTAATTTAGCCTTTTTAGGTGATATATTCAATCCTTTTTCTTCTATTAAGGTTATAAATTTTTCTAAGTGTTCTTCATATTCTTCTTTATTTTTTATTTCGTATAAATAAATAAATATATATATTTATCAAATAAATATTCAAATATATATATATATATAATTTATTCACCCTATATTACATTCATTGAATCTAGACATATTTCAGATTCAATGAATTTGGACATCATAACTTGAGTTGGGTTGTTCTTGTGTGCAAACCTATAGGCTCATATAAAATTGACAGTAGGCTAATTATGTTATTAGCCCACAAGTCATAAGTAGCCTCTAGCAAAATAATGCAACAACCCAATTCACATGAGGATTGATGATCCAATATAACCTATGATGCAATCGTATCACATCCCTTTTGTCACGCGATATTTTGGTTAAGTGTGAGATATGGAATTGTTATTCTCCTTTACCTAACTGTTACTTTCTCGATCTCTAAATAAATTGATTGTAACAATGAAAAATCCTTTTTATTATAGCATGGCCATACATTTTTTCAATTTTACTCATCGAGGGGCCTAGTAATATCTCTCACTTAATGTGAGGGATAAATTCCATCTTGACCACTCATATACCTCTACATGAATATCACTAAAATCAATCATAAGCTTTATGATCACCCAGTCAAAGGTGACTTTTGACTAGGTCAAGATTCAGTGGTTATCACGTAGGAATCCATGATGATCTCAAATCAAAGGACTTAGTAATATAGTTACATATGAAATAAGCTTATGACTTGTGCCATGAAACTTTCTCATAGCAGGTTGGTCCAGCACTTTGTACTCTTTCAAGTACCTATGACTTTGATTTATATCTCTATAATTAATCAAGGTCATACCAGTTTCATTTCATCTATGATCCCTTATAGATGATCGACTAGGAACATTTAGGACAAACTTGTTCAAGGATACAATTATCATAATGAACATGTAATTGATATGATAATAAAAGAGAAATTCATTAAATAACAATGTGCATAGTACAATGATTGGCCTTAGGGCATAATTTCCAACACTTAGAAGAATTAAGCTTTGGAATCGATGTAGGTGCACTTTCTACTCCACATGGTAATGTTAGAAGTTCTCCATAAGTTTGGTAGGTTACACATTCTACCCCGCTTTCAAAAGCTACATGTTCAAAATCATGATCTTCAATAGGAGGAGGAGAGTTTGGATCTAAAACTGACAAGTATTGCTCCATCCTGCATTTACAATCCATCCAATTCCATGTCTCATTTACACTTGTATTGACAATCACAATTTCAGTTACTAAAATAACAACTATGTTATAGCAAATGACAACTTTCTTTACACGAATTAAACACAGTAACTTATATTGGTGCTTCCTTAATTGTCTGTAACTTATATTGGTGCTTCCTTAATTGTCTCCCCACTACCATTTGCTTTACAACCTATATATACATGATTGCTTCCAACATTATGCTCAAATAGGATAGCAATTCCACCATCATCAACAAGGTCTATAAGGGTCGGTTCATCATATTTGATAGTATATTTCATATAACTCAAATTAGTGTCAATGCCAAAACAAGAAGATATCATTATTCTGAATTCTTTAAGTGTCATCCCTTCTTTTATCATTTTCACCCTCATACTCACCCTATCATATTGTATTTTACCTTCAATATTTTTTTACAAAATGTGCCTTATATGGAAATATCAAAATAGCTCCTTTTCAAAACTAGAAGAAGAAGTCATTTTTGATGCCAACCTGAAATAATAAAATAGTCACTCATCAACATGTCTATTTGTTAAATATCATGATCACATATTTATTATGTTTTATCCAATAATAATTATTGTTCTTATATTCACAACTTTGTATTTGTTATTTATAACTTTTGATTTATACATTTACAATACAACTGAAAATGATTTATCATTTACCATTTATCATTTATCCATATTGAGTAAGCATTAGTTCCCATGATTTTCAGTTTCAAGCATGAAGAGAAAATAAATACCTTAATCATTTACGCAAAATAACTTACATTAACTTCACCTATCACATATGGGAGGAGAAAATTTTAAGGAGGAGAGGAAATTAACTCACGCACAACAGACACAACAGAGGAAGAATGTATTAAAAAAAAGGAACGATAGAACAAGAACAAGAAGGAGAAGAGAAGAAGGAGAAGGAGAAGAGAAGGAGACGAAGAAGTAGAGAGAGAGAGAGACAGACCAATACCATGAAGTAGAGAAGATGAGAACATGAATAGCATGAATAAGAGCCTAAACAATAACCATGAGGGAATTTTTCTTTAGTGAGGATTGGAATTTTTATTTACTTTGAGGGCAATTTAATCATTTCATTTGATTTTTTAATGACAAAAAGATCCCAAGATACTTAAAAGAAAATTATTTTATTTTATGAGATCAATCTGTCAATTAGCTATTTTAAATGAATTTTTCTACCCTTTTTCCTATTATATATTTATATGTTTAGTTTTTTATATTTAATTTTTATTTTGTAATGACGTTTCTGTCCTAGAGTCTTTTTCCCAATGCCCTACCCTAAACTTTCAATTCGTTCCGCATGAGCCTTACGGCGCGAACTCGGGCTCCAGACTTCACCGTCTTGCCACCTTCGATCGGTCTCCACTTTTCCAGCTCCTTCTCCTTCCGAAACTCGAAGCTCCTTGACCACTCGCCTTCTTCGCCGTCGACAGTAAAAAGGTGCTTCTCCTTCTCGAAGCTCCTTCACGACTCGCCTTCTTCGTCGTCGACCGTAATAAGGTGCTTCTCCTTCTCGAAGCTCGAAGCCGCTTCTCCTTTTTGCCATTAAAGGTCTGTCACGACTTGCCTTCTTCGCCGTTCTCCATTGCTTCTTCAAATCCGTCTCCTTCGATCTTGCCGGCCATTGGGCTCATCCAACTTTGCCGTCGACCTTCGTGCTGTTGCGCTCATCTAACTTCTCCTTCAGATATTCCGCTCGTGCTCTCAGTCTCAGGTTCGACCCCTTCAACACTTTCTGTTCTTGTATTGCTCTTAACATCACTGAATGGGTCTTGAATTGCTTCTGCTTAAGATTCAAAATTCATGTCATGTTGCTATTATTTTTCTTAACTGTTCAGTATGTTGTTAAGAGCAATGACTAAATGTCCCTTAAACACTTTCTGTTCCAGTGTGTTAGCCGATGTTAGGAAACTTGGAGTGCCATATCAACATCGGTATGGTAACATTAACACACCCAAGCTGTACCTTACTGGGCATGATACACCCCCCCTTCAGCAAACTTCTAGCACCAGATTCTGGAGATTTATTCATTCTGGGTATGGTAACTTTGCCTCTCTCTACCAGAAAAAAAAAACCCTTGTATGGTTGTTGTGTAAATTTGTTCTTTCACTACTGCCGAGTTTATGACCAAATTGTACTGACTAATTGCTGAAACCATGCTAACAAAACTGGCGTTTAAGCATGAGACTCTTGCATTATAATTGAAATTAAAATATTCTTCATGTCTAGTTTTGAGAACTGTGTCTATTTTATCTTTGCTAGGGAGGATTTGCGCCAGGTGAATTCAACTTCGATGCAAAATTGTGAGTAGCCTAATTTCTTGGGAAAATATCAATCAAGAACAGCTGGAAAAAATTTATACTAGTCAAGGATCATTTGTTTTCAAAATCAGAATGGATGCCTGTTCATTCAAGTTAGTCTTTTATCAACAAGAATCTATTTGGGTTTTAACAACTCATTATAAATTAATAATAATCCATTCGGGCTTTTTTCTATTTGGATTTTAACAATAACTAGTCCTTGATTAATATAAATTTCCTTTAGCGGTCCTTCATTGCTATTTTCCCTAATTTCTTTTGGCACAATGAAGTTTTTTTGCTTGTGGGCTTATATGCATGATGCATCTGATATAATTATTGTGCACATTTATTTATTTTCTTTCTAAATATCCGTACAGAACAATATTTTAGGAGGAGAGAGATCTGTCTTTAGTTTTCATTTCTCTTTACATCCCAACGGAGCTATACTTATTCAGTTTACTTTAATTCGTATCAAATCATCATGACTTAAATTTGATAAATGTAAGCATATTTTATTAATATGCTATTGGTTTTTGAGGAAGTGCAAAGTAAGAATGACTGAAAAGTTATTCCGTATTTCTGTTTCCTTCTTTGCCTTGTGGGTTAGTTGGGTTTTGTCAATCTGATGAAGAAGCGAAAACCTGAATATTAATGAATTACTTTGTAACAAGTTCAGTGCAGACTTAGATTCAAAACATGCTAACTTTAGACCTAATAATTTAGAAATCTAAGCTTAAATTTGCGTGGTGCATGCAAAATTTTGTACACATGCACATACATACTTTGTAGAATATTTTGTAATAATTTTAAGTCAATGGACTGCTGTTCTTATGCAAAATGTAATAATTTTTGAGTCTATTCATAATTAATATGATTTTAAATTAATGCAATATTTATGATTTAATTAAATTAATATAGAATGTTAATTAGCACTCTGCAACTAGTGTGAATGAGCTCTCTATATCTAACATTTGGATGAGCACTTATTTGTATTAATATTCAAAATTGAGCATATTAATCAATTTTTTCTTACAGATATCCAAATGGACTCCAAAATCTGCGTAGGCTTGAACTGAAGGGACCTTGCTGGCTGCACTGACGCCTCTTCTTTCTCTGATTACGTCACTGCCACTGTTTCTGCCGTCCATCAGCAATGGAAAATAGCCACACTTGGACCTGCCACACCTGTGGCAATGTGGGTCTGGCCGACGGATCTGATGGCTTCTTCTACTGCCTTCGATGCGGCTCTCAGGCTGATGACGTCATTGACACTGGTGTAGCCGATGAGGACTTTGTTGACAAGGGAGGAGATGCTAATGGCGCCATCTACTTGGCCAGTCACCGTCGCCAGCGTTCCCATGTGGTCAAGGTTGAACCTGTGACTCAGCATGATTCCATCTATGGTTCTCAGTCCCAGTTTATGAAGGCTCTGGGTTTGGAGGAAGAAGCTACTCAACCTCAAGAAAATCATTCTGGGGGTGTTTTTAAGGTAGATGGAGGTTCAGATTATGGTTTCCAATTTAAACAGGCTGGTTCTTCAGTTCCGGGTGATTTTGGGGGTTCAAATGTCATGAGAGGTCTGAGTTTTGACGATTATTACAATGAGATAAGGATGCGTTATGTGATGGGGTTGCAGATTATGATTGAGCTTCAGTGTGAAGCGTTGGTGAATGAGTTCAAGGTGAACCCTTTGATATGTGGGATTGTTGGGCCAATTTGGTTAAGATATGTCTCTGGGACTGATGTTTTTGATGATGGGTGGGCTGATGAAGTAATTCATGACTCTGAGATGCAGAAAGAAGGTAAAATGAGTTGGATTTCCTGGCCTTTTCCCCCCCCCACACATAACAGTATGTCACTTGTTCAGTGGCTAGTTATTTTGGTTGCATGATTACTATTCCGTTCATATTAGTGTTTATATGTTCTTTTTCGCTTATGATTTAATCAAATATGCCATTTTATGGTTATTTTGTGGGTTGTTGCTGGCATGATAATTGTGGCATTACTGTGTTTTGAAAAATTATCCCAAATGATTGATTCTTGATTTCTGACTGAGATTTAGGCACCCTAAATTTCTTAATGCTAATTTTGGAGAAAGACACTATGCAAACTTACTCTTCATAACACAAGTAAGCCCAAGTGTGTCTTACCCTTTTCAGATTATTTAGTGTCAAGTTCATATGAAACTTCGGGGAATGGGATGAAATGAGAGGGTTCTAGTCTGATTGTAAGTGGGAATTATACTCTCTTATATGTGAATCCTTATCATCAAATTTATTATCTCATTAGTAAGATGAAAGTTGAGCCCTATATTTTTGTGCTTGTCAACTTTTAGTATTCAGATAGATTTTCATTTATTTTAAGCTGCTTCACCATTTTTTTTTTTATCATGCATCACTTGTATCTCATCAAGTTTAATTCTTACATGGTTTTAGAAGAACCCGCCTATCACAAGCCCCGTGCTAAATATAGTGCAGAACCTCACAACATCTATGGTGAGCGTGCTGTAATGATATGGTATAAGTCTTTAAGGAAAAGTATTCCATTAGCTTGTACTGCAGCTATTACATTCCTTGCTTGTCATGTGGCCAAGGAAGCAGTCTTGCCTACAGACATGATGAAGTGGACCCTTGAAGGAAGACTTCCATATTTTTCTGCATTTTGTGAAATTGAAAAACGCATGGGGCGGCCTACAGGAGCATGTCCTATAAGTTCAATGGTTATGTTCAGGCCTTCACGAGCTGTGTCTTTACAAAAGCTAGAGTCATTGGCAGCATCTATTGCTGATTCTGTAGGACTAGATTTGCCTCCTGTTAACTTCTATTCAATAGCTTTGCGTTATCTTCAAGACTTGTGCCTTCCAGTTGATCAGATTCTTCCTGATGCAGTTAAGATTTATGAATGGTCAATGCCTCCAGGTTTATGGCTATCCACAAATGAATTGAGACTTCCTACTCGTGTATGTGTTATGTCAATTCTGATAGTAGCAATAAGAATGTTGTATAACATAAATGGTCTTGGAGAATGGGAAAAGAGTTTGTCTCATAATGGTGCTGCTTTGGTTAAACCTTCAAGTGGCATTAAAGGGGAGAGAAATGGTGGAATGGATACCAATTTTAGTTTCCATGATGATAGTGAACAGTCTAATAAAGACCCAGTACAACCGCAGCAACCAGAATGGGATGCTGCGAGGCTTCTCTACCACCTTCATACATTATATGATGGGGTTGCCGACAAATATGGTAAAGTTTCTAGTTTATTTTTATGATATTATTTTAATCCTTTGTTTCTTAAGTGTTTTTATTAAAAAAATTTATGCTGTGGCAGTATTCTTTAAGGAACTCACTAACTTTCAGTATATGAAGACAGGGTATTCAAAGGACTTGTCAACATATCTCCAATATTGTAAGGATGTTGTCTTTGCTGGATTAGAGCCATCGTTTGAGAATCATGAGGAAGAAAAGATGATAGAATTCTCATGGAATTTTTATCAAAATGAGAAGGTATAAAAGCCTAAATGAATAGTTAAACTTGTATACAAAGGCCCAGTTTAATAAGATCTTATAATTTCTTTTATCATTCATTCTTGGAATTTGGTTATCAAATTTAAAAATATTGGAGTGAGAGAAATTTCAGAGATTTTCTTGACTGTTGACTAGATTTGCCATTACAAGACCTAATATATTTCCTCTTTACTTTAAAGAAGGGAATGTTCTTTGTAGATTAAATGCCAGATGTTCAAGAAAGCCTTTTTATTGTGATGAATTTTATTTGATAGCTTAGTGACAAATGGCATTTGACTTCGTTTTTTGGTAAATGACTTATTTAATATTTAATATAAATGGTATTGACGACAATATCAAGGGAGCTCTTGTAATTATATATATCTAGATAAGGTTCATTTTTTTTCTTTTTTTAATTGTACTCCTGGACAATGGAGTGGGTTGTCTTCCCTACCCAAACTTCTTGAAAACTCAAACAAGTTTCTTTTGGCTAATGATCAAGAACTTAGCTGTCTTGATAACTGTCATGCTAGTGAAATAGTAATATTGTTGCCCATGTAGTTACTGCAGACTTAGTCTTGCGCTTCCAATTAATGAGCATCTTCTTTTATTCTGTGATATATTCTACTTGCATTGGGGTTATAAGTTCCTTTTCCATTCATTCTGATAAGGATGTAGTCTAGATATTGATTAAATAAAACTAAATTTCATAACCAATTCTTTTGAATTGTTGGTTTTTATTTGTCTGTTATGGTAACGTGGATGTGTACTTTCTGTCTGGACAACATTATGAAGAATGTCACTTTTCTAATTACCAACTTTCTTGGTTGATTTCAGGATTCTGAACCAACTGAACCGGTAGAGCAATCTGATGGTTCTTTGAAGCTAAATAAGCTGACCAGCGAAACATGTATTAGCCGAACACTGAAGGATAAAAAAGAATAGAATGTTTTAATCACAAAACACATGATGATGATGATGATGCCTGCATTGCAAGTGATGTACAGGAAAGAATGGATTATGATGATTCCCACAAGAGTTCACTAGATTCTGAAGAATCAGAAAGTGATGGGGAAACCTCAGCAGAGACTATTGATAATGAGGTTATCAGAAAACTGAAATTGGACATGGAGGAGAACAAATTCTGTTACATACCTCCGAGGGTGAAGCCAAGAAGATTTGATTATGTTCACTACGTGAGAAAGAAGGATAAAGGTGCCTATGCGTATGTTGCTCATGCTGATTATTACATCATACTTCGGGCTTGTGCAAGGGCTGCACAAGTTGATCTTCGGATTATGCATATTGGCGTATTAAGCTTTGAGAGAAGACTTGCTTGGCTAGAAGAAAGGATTGACAAGGTCTTGCGTGTGAAACCTCCAAGGATATCTTGCCAGTTTTGTAGCGGTGAAAAGGCCCCTGAAAAGGAAGGATCTGTTGATGAACATGGACTTTCAAATTTGAGTATCCGAGAAGTTTCTTCTAAAAGCCTTTAATTGAAAACAAGTATGACTTAGATCTGTAACTAGTTTGATTGTATGAATTTGCAAGTTGACAGGTGACATTAGCGCATGCAAAGTATATAGCTATAGCACTAATTTTCGGTTACTTAGATTGAGGTTAAGGTGTCACGGCCCCATGGAGTAGATGGATGCCTGCCTATATTATATTTTGAAACAACAATTTTTTTTCCAGTACATTGTACAATGTATAAGATGAATAATTCTTTTTCCTAAAAGCTTGATAAACGATAGAGCATAATGAAGTCTTGCAATCCATGTAGCCGACCTCACTTAGTGGGATAAAGGCTTGTTGTTGTTGTTGTTGTTGTTGTTGTTGTGTAGTTTATGCTTCCTCTTGTACTGTTTAAAAGGTATGGAGAGAGATTTTGTCTTATTTATAAGTTATGTCATTAGATTTCTATCGCAAGTTTTACCTTTATCCTTATTAAATGTTAGTGTGAGAGAGTACTTGAATAGTGCCAAAACCATGTGGGTGATTTGATTTAAATTTCCCTCCTTATTGTTTAACCTATTTGTGTTTCCCTTCTGGGTCTTGATGGTTGCTATTTCTGCCTTGCATCCCAAGTTTCATGAACCTGGGTATGTGGCTCCTTGTCATTGGGCCGCATCTTCACTCTTTTCACCAATAACATAACACCTTCTCGGCGTCATATATTTTGGGTTGTTCTTCAACCTCTGGGCCCTCGCAGTAGGGTCATTCCCATGCCCCTGGGTTGTTCTTCACCCACCAAGCCTTGCAATTGCAACAATGTTATTGTGCTTTCTCCATCTTGTCTGTTCTTCCTCCCCTTTTTCTCAACGCTGTCATTTTTCACATTTCAGCGTTTTGCCCTTGCTCTTTCTCCATATACTTTTTCGCTCCTTCTCGCCTAACAGTCTCCAAGTTACCACGCTGCTAATGCGTAAATTCCTCCCTCTCATCTATCTCTGTAAGCTCCTCCCTGCCAATGCTACTGACAGCACGTTGGGGAGTTCTGCCGAGTTCATGCTTTGGTAAAATCGAACCCCCCCCCCCCTTTTCATCCTAGAAAATCTCTAACATCAATTCGAGCCTCTTCGGATTTTGGTCGAGTATTTAGTGATATTGACCCATAACTTTGACATTGATTTCGATTGAATTTGTTACAATCATTATTGCGGGGGCAATCATTTCTTCTTTTGAGTGCATTCATTTCTTCCAGATTTGATTGTGTCTATAGGTAAGAATTTTTTCTCAATGCACTTTAATATATCTTTTTATTTTCATTTGTTCTTTGATTTGATTTTGATTCTGATTTTCCTGAAAAAAAAAAATCTGCAATTTGATTTTTGAGCAATATTAGAGTTGACTGTAATATCTTCAAAAAAAGCAAGATTGATCAAGGATTTTTTCATTGCAGACAAAACCTCATGGGCATTTGACACAGTCTAGTAGTCTCGGCCTCAAATTTAATTCCAAGCCAAACAACTAATAAAGTATAGTAGCCAATGTGAGCTGATCTTTTTGAGTAGGTCTTAAAGTTTCAAGGTACAAGAAAAAGACTTAAATTAACAGAAACAAGCAGATAAGTGAGATTGAATTTACTACAACTAAAAGACTTGAATTTAAAATGCTAGAATATAAATTGTTTTTAGATTTTCTTTATTGAAGGAAATAAAAAGAATGAAAAAAAGGAAAAGAATAAGAAATAAGATGTGAAAATTTAAGTGATAATGACAGTCCCTTAAAGGTATGGTTACTCTATGCTTGGCAATAAAATAATGACTAGCCTTCACTCTTTAATTAGGTTCAAAATTTGTTTAGGAATCCCCAAACTCACTTAAAAGTCACTAGAATTTGAGAAAATTAAGTGTGGTTAAGTTTAGCATGATAAGTCTAATTAATTTTTTAAGTTAAACCCTTGCCTAGTCATGACTAAATCTAGTCCAGTTGAAAATATACCCCACTCTTTAATTCACACAAAATGCATAATCATGACTCACTTGTGTGAATTTAGAGGACAAAATTTAAATGCTCAAGGGAATCAAAAGAACAATAAAATAACATCAATGGACAGCACAATAACTCAAGGAATGATTAAACTTTATTAATTGAAAATGCTACACAAATTCAGAATTTCAAATTTAGCAACACTACAAGATTTAAAATAGGGCAAAGTTACTAAATAAACTCAATTAAAGAGAAGAGTAAAAACAATCCAAATAATCTAATAGCCTTAAGAGCTTCACTACACCCAAAAGGGCTTAAGAGTTTAGCTCTCCATGAGTGTTAGCTCAAAAATCCCATAGACCAAAAGAGGTGTTTCAGTCATGAGAGACTAGAGTTGGTGTGTGTGATTTGAAGTGTGTGAAAGTAAGTGTGGTGAGTGAGAATGAAATCTTAGAATCTGGAAAATGAAGAATAGTGGTGTGAAAGTGAGCTGGCGGAGCTGAAATAGTGAAATCAAAGAGCCAAAATGAAGTAATATCTAATGGTATATGAAGATGGAAGAAGATGGAGTTAACTGGTGTGAATGAGTGGGTAAATAATGAAATCCCTGATTTGGAAAATGAAAAGAAGATGAAGAAAAGATGAAGAAAAGAAGCTTTCTCCATGTAAGGTTTCCTTACTAAACCACAATAAACTCTAACATTGAGGTAATCAAGTGATTAAACCCTCATAGGATTATCAAGTTTGTAAAAATTACATAAATGAGAAGAATTCTCAAATCATTTACAATGAAATTTTAAATTTCAGCATTTTCAATCTCTCAAATACTTATTATGCTCAAATTAGAGTTTTAAAATAATGTGGAAGCTTGGAAATCACATAGGTCCCAAAATATTGAGTTTCAAAACTCAAATATGAATTTTGTGTTGAAAATGACCCATGCGTCATGGCTTGTGACAATTGTAAATAGATGCAAAGAAGCAAAAATACATAAATACAACACATATGATAGGCTTCAACAACTATCTGATCGACCCAAGGCATACATATATATGTCCACAAAATGTCAATGCATATCATGGGGTCGCAAAAAACCAAGCATGCGCCCCTAACACATACCAAACCACAATATTAACAACCATGTGGCCAAATTTATATGCATGATCGAATGCCTACCTTATACCCACTTGTTACCTTCGACATGAAATCAGTGGCTATGTCCTTTATGGACTAACCCAGCCTTCCACTTGTGAGGAGCTACTAGGTTAGAGTTAACTCACTCACTTATGTAATCAAGTTTTCACTAATACTAACAACCATGGGGCGTCGTACCCTAATCTAGCCTTCTCATGAACCGGTGGAGACTAGTTATATTCGAGTCCCTCATAGAACAAGTGGGACAGTCCCGAATCAACCATGGGACACGAGCTACCTCCCGATTCCAATGGTCAGTGCCAAGGCAAGTTATCAATTTTAATGGTCACTACCAATACCACATAGATTTAACCATATACTCCTCTTTCTAGGTGAACTCTCGCCAATGATCATGTGATGCATGTATAACACATTCATGCAATTCAATTATCAACCACATATCAAGGATTTACATATCCATAATCACATACTCACTCATGTAACATCCGAAAACTTCAAATATGAAAAAATTGACTAATTAAGGGAAAATTAGTTAAAAAGATGATTAATTAATTTAATTATGTTTTTGGGTTGTTAATTGATTTTTTGGGTCATATTTAGCTCTAAATTAAGTTAGGATGGAAGTTGGAATTGAATTGGGTAGCATGGGGGGAGAAAAAGTGAGTTTTTGCTCTCTGCATCATGAGCCGTGGCTTGTTTGTTGTGCACTGTGACGTGCGGTATAGCACAGGCATAAAATGTGAACATTATCTGAAAAAGTCTTTTTTTGTTGGTGAAAGCTTAGAACTCGAAGGAGGAAGATTTGAGCATTGCTAGGGCATCATTATAGGAGGATTTTAAAGATAAATTAGGCCTTCAAACTCTTGAGTAAGTTTCCTACCCTTCTCCTCTACCTTTTCATCTCTTTTCCCATGGGATTTAGAAGTGGGAGAATTTACTCTAAATGGATTAAGCTATAAGTCTATATTTTAAAGGTTTTTATTGATTCTAAAGGTTTGATTTAAGCTTTTTAACCTTGGATAAGTGAAAATATGAAGTTAAATTGTTGTTTGGTGAAAGTTGGATCAAGCCTTAGCTTGATTATAGAGTTTTGAGGTGTGACAAGTTGAAATATCAAGTGTTATGTTGTGATAGAGTTAGAAGGAAGCTTGAAGGGATTGTGTGAGAAAAATTGTAATCTTGACAACCTTATTTATTGAGAATATGAGTGAGAAGTGGGAGAATTGGGATGTTATGGATACCTAATAGTGCTTGTGTTAATTGAAAATTAATATTTAGTACTTGTTGATGTAATGGTGTGGAAAAACTTGCCTTGACACAAGAAGAGATTTAATACCACAGTAACCCTTTTAGTAATAAAAAGGTTAAGGTAACTAGATAATTTACATTATTTATTACCTTGTATAAGTTATTTTCTAGTTTTTCTTGCATGATTTGTTATGTATATATGTATGAATTTTATAAAAGTTAACTATTTTAGAAAATGAGTGGAGTATTGATTTGTAAAACATCATGTTTTTGAAGTAAGTGGTAATATTCATTATATTGGTTTAGAAAGTGGTTTATGCATGGTCAAGTAGAGATATGCAATGAAATGTGGCATATTAGAGGGTGGGAGGTCACCTTAATAGAGTTAATGGAGATTAAGTCCATATGGCATTGCTGGTACTTCAGGACGCTAGGTGCAGCTCATATTTCTCCTTACTGCCCGAAAAAGGATGCGATGTTAGAGACTTACTCTCCTTAGTACCCAAAAGAATGTGAAGTTGGAGACTATGCTCCTTAGCTTTTATAGGATGCGAGTAACGACACCCCCAATTACTTGTAGTAGGGGGAACCATTAATCCAAAAGTAGTTTATGACACCTTGGCCAAGTAGTCCTATCATGGATGGTGAGCTTGGGGACCATACATGTGGTTTGGTTTCGTGAAATAGCCTATCAATTCAATCAGGAGTATTAGAGGATCGAATAGATAGTGATCATGCATGTAACTTGTGGTGATTTTATATGGTGTGTTTATTATGCTTATTTCAAGGATTGTTTATAACTTAGCATGTTAATCAATAATGTAGATTATCTTAGTTACTGAAATTTTTATCTCACATTGTGGTTATCATTTTATAGGTTCTATCGTTGAGATTGAGCAAGGGAAGAAATTAGGCAAGGGTTAGCATACTTGCTACATTATCATCGTAAAGCCTGATTTTATTTTGAGTCATGTACATAAACTTATATAGATGA